ATCTCATTTCCACAGGTGGAAAAGATACCAGTATTATGCAGTGGCGAGTCATTTAGAGTAAACCTTCTACGAGCATACATGTGTAACCAAGGACTGGCTGTGAACCTAAGTTCTGTACGCACTGTATATGTAAGAGTTAACAAATGGTTGCCGTCTAGCCTAGTCACTGTGATTTTTAAGTTTCAAATCCTTACAAACCTCAGGAAAGCTAAGTTCTTGGCTGGCTGCCGTACTTATTTCAGTAATTCATAAAGTATCACTTAAAAAGAAAAAACAGCAACAGCAGCAACAACACATCGTTACTGCTTTTTGTTGTACAACATATGAAGCTGTACAAGTCTAAAATGAAGTATTGACTTGGATGCTTATGCAATATATATGAACAGGACTTTTCTATTAAATAGTCACAAAAAAGCTTATTGTAATATTACATATATGTGCTTCACAGTTTCATTATTTATACTTTGTGCTGTCTATCTGCGTAGTTAGAATATCTATAGTCGGAAAACTGATGGCATTCCCATAGATGGCAGCAGCAAAGAATTTGTATGGAAAGCTTAACCCAAGCTCAACAAAACAGAGTGAACAAGCCACTCAGTATGGCTGTTCCGTGGTAGTCATTTTAATGGGACTTGCGTAAGTTTGTCATAAGAAATGAAACAGATGTTTCACTCAGCAGTACTTTCTGGGTTTTCTGGCTCCCATAGTAAAGAACTTGTTTGAATAATGTGAATGTTGGAATAGTCATTAACTTGCAATTTTCCCTGGCATAGCAAAATATTAAAAGTTCAAGGATACAATCTAGCAAAAGTTGGTTAAGACTTGACTTCCATAGAAAAACTGGAATGGGGTTTACTTGTAATCGACTTGAGTCTTAGCTGGTTTCAGTGGAATAAGCATTTGCTAGATTGTACCAATATTTTCTCTCTCTCTTTGAAATCAAGCAATTTTAACTTGAATATCTCAGCAGGGATTACAGCTTCAGGTAATCTGTTTTCAAGGTGGAAGCTTTTCTCACATATATGTTCACAATTCCTTATTGAAAAATAACGAACCAATATGGCCACATCTCCGTTATTCAGTTGGCAGAGTGAACCCTAATCTGTATATTGATCAGCATGTATGCAACTACCTTATACACGTGTAAAAAAATAAACAAATTAGCAATTCATAAGAAATAGTAAAGCATTCTAAGCTTTACTTGCCTGTTGCTTATGGATATTGTATATTCGTATTTTAAGGTCAAGTAGACAAAAATATAAAGGGATCCTTTGAAGCGTACCACTAACCTGCAGAGGAGAGATGGGGAAGTAAACACAAATAACTGCTAAGAAGACCAGCTGGACTGCACAAGCAACCCAAGTCTTCTCTTGGGGCTGCAGTGTTTTTAGGACTATCAACAAAGTAATGTGCAGGTCATGACATGTGTGCCCCAGGAGCCTTTGCAGTGTGGCAGAGGGTGCCTGACTTCAGATCATGTGCTGGTCATAAGAGTTGGATCTGCAGTGGAGGGTGTGACCACAGCATCCCTGAGAGATGCCTGCCCACCTTTTGCTTGGATGCTTCCAGCGAAGGAGAGGCCACCCACCTCCTGAGGCCATAGTTCCACCCTTGAGCAACTCCTGCTGTTAGGAAATTTCTCCTAACGACCAGCCAAAACCTGCTTTCCCGCAATTTCCACCCGTCGGTTCTAGTCCTTTCCTCTGGCGAAGCAGAGAGCAAGCTTGCTCCATCTTCCGATGCAGCCATTTGGGACAGCAAAACGTGGGGGGATGTCCAACACCGCAGTGCATAAGTTCCACCGTATTTCCCCCACCCCCGTGTGTTTTGCATGGACCAATATTTATAGTATGAAATAAGATTGTGTTTTGCAATGAAGTAAGAGAGGAGGTGGCATAAAATAGTTAAGAAGGCCTTATTCGTTTTGATTGTGACACAGACTGAAAAATTATTGTTTACATTGGGGAATGTATCTAAAGACTTTAAATGAGCAGCGTTGTTGTAAGCAGGCTCTGTAAAGCTCAATAGGAAAGTTTTCTTTTTCTTTTTCTTACAAAGGATAGGAACATGTGAATTAATTGAGCTCTGAAGCACGGGTTGTTGAGAGTTATTTCGATGAAGATTTAATAAGTTTTTGAAGCTTTTTTTATTACATCTTCAACCTGCTACACTGAAAGTGCAGGACACCAATAAACATCATGTATCAAGAAAAATTGTTCTGATTCGTTTATATCGCACGACTCAGCGTGGATTAAATTCTGCATTGAAGCTGTGATATGCCGCAGCAACAGCAAGAACAACATTTCCTTTGTGTTTTCAATTACAAATTGGGATAAAATTTTCTGAAAATATCGATGTCAGACTTACCAACATGGATTATATTTTCAAATTCCTGTTCAATCCTTGATTTTGACAAGAAGCAAATTTTTTGGAATGATTTTTATTTGGTTTTACAAATCTGTTCACATTCACATTCATCCATAGTTTAAAAAAAAAAAAAGACTTCGCTTCTTTAAGTAACTTTTAAACTGCATATTATAAATCCATCCAGTTTACTGTCCTCCATTGTATCCAAAATCTATGTATCATTGCAAGAGTTATTTAAAACCTGCTAAAGAGTTCAAGTGTTTTACAGTGGTCTTTCAAATATAATATAAATTTGTCCCAATCTTTATTGAAGTTTTGATCCTCCTGGTTTCTGGTTTTGCCAGTTAATCTTGCCATCTCTGCATAGTCCAATAGTTTTGTCTGCCAATCCACCCAGGGTAGGTATCTTATCATCTTTCCAGCTCTGGGCAAAAAGCATTCTAGCAGCCATAGTAGCACACATAAGCAGTCTTTTCAATTCTTTCAGTATCTCTGCCCCTACAATTCCTAAGAAAAAAGCTTCTGGTTTTTTATAACAAAGGTTATTTTAAACATTTTCTTCAATTCATAATATATCATTTCCCAGAATTTCTTTATCACTTTACAATTCCACCACATATGATAAAAGGTGCCTTCCTATTCCTTACATTTCCAACAAACATTTGAGCTGGTCCTATACATTTTTGCTGGTTTGGTCGGGGTTAAATGCCAGCGATACATCATTTTCATATAATTTTCTTTTAATGTATAGCACACTGTAAATTCCAAATCTTCTCTTCATAATTTTTCCCATGCTGTATAAACAAGTTTTTTTAAAAAACAGTTCTGCTAAAAACACAAACAATTCTCACACATTACACTCACACACACATCTATATCTATCTATCTATCTATCTATCTATCTATATATATTACACATATACACTCCAGGTTTCCTACTGTAACCAGCACATAGTACTGGATACAGGAATATAACTGTATAAATATAACTTACATATTCATTAAAAATATGCTGCAGAATTACAGATTATTTTCTGGTCCTTAATTTTGCAAGCAGTTTTGCATATAATTAGTTGGGCTTTTTAAAAACAAAACAACAATGCATGAGCGTAAGTGAATGCTCAATGCAGGAAGTATTGCAGTGTGACCAAGGAAACAAAAACAGAGACAAACTCTTAAGAAAAATGCTAGAAATGTTTGTTTGCTTTTAATGTGCATTTGGGAAAATGCAATTTTCTAAAGAAACCAGGCACATTAAAAATGCCTTTTTATACTACATTTTCCCCTTGGCTTCTAAACGGTAATTACAGAGTATCTAGGCAAATCTCAGTCAGGAGTTGGAGAGTGCAGGCAACACCACCAAATGGGCACTGGAAAAAGATCTACTTGGCTCCATTAAAAGACCCTGGGTCTTCAGACAACCTTTGAGACCAGGTAACCTAGTTATTATCAAATGGCACTAGTCTTTTCCTTTAGTGCGTATGGTTTTGTTTGTTATACAGTGGTACCTCGGGTTACAAACACTTTGGGTTACAGACTCCGCTAACCCAGAAGTAGTACCTTGGGTTAAAAACTTCAGGATGAGAAGAGAAATTGTGCTCCAGCAGCGCGGCAGCAGCAGGAGGCCCCATTAGCTAAAGTGGTGCTTCAGGTTAAGAACGGTTTCAGGTTAAGAACGGACCTCCGGAATGAATTAAGCTCATAACCAGAGGTACCACTGTATTTCTTTTGCATTAATGTTTTGCTTCCAACTTGAGTCCCTCTCTCTTTTATAAGGCAAAAGTGAGGTATAAGCATTTAAATGAATCAATGTGCAGTGACTTTCCTCCCAGGACTAAAGGCCCCCTCCCCAATATCCAGACTCGAGAATGTGATCCTGAGGGCAGTGGTAGTCTTGGTGTTGTGACGTGGGGTTTGTGATTTCAGCTCTCCTGATATAACATGCTGGAGACAGTTCTCTAGTAACACTTCTTTATTAAAGCAACAAGACTGGCTACTGGGGAGAGGAAAGCTACATTTATAGGGACAGGGAACTAGCAAGAAAGGATACATTTTGGAGGGAACAATATCAGGCAATCACAGTCCTGCCTTTTGGAGGGAACCAATAAGACAGAGGATCCAAATACAGCAGCTTAAATGAACCAATAGTAGCTGTACCCTCTGGAACCAAAAGGCAGTTACTTTACCCTAATGCAAATACAGACAATAATAATACAGATATAAAATCCTTTGACTCAATACACAACACTTGGCACTGTGCCTAGTGAATTGCCAAGTGGAAACTTTTAATGTTCCAAGTTTCGTGTTTTGCTTTCTTAAAAAAGAAAGATTAAAAAGGTGAATTTCTCCGTTTCCTCCCAGCTTCTGTATTCCAGTACTATATTGGACCAATTAGGCATTACTGGCATATTTCTGTATTATTTTAACAACCTTTTTATATAAAAAAAGAATAAAACCATTTCCAGAGGAGGAGGAGGAAGATTTTGGATTTGATATCCCGCTTTATCACTACCCAAAGGAGTCTCAAAGCAGCTAACAATCTCCTTTCTCCTCCTCCCCCACAACAAACACTCTGTGAGGTGAGTGAGGCTGAGAGACTTCAGAGAAGTGTGACTAGCCCAAGGTCACCCAGCAGCCGCATGTGGAGGAGCGGGGAAGCGAACCCGGTTCACTAGATTACGAGTCTACCGCTCTTAACCACTACACCACACTGGCTTTCCAGAGGAGGAGTAATAGTGCTCAAGCATGCAGCAAAGAGGGCACAGGTCTGTTCCTTAAAGCTCTGTATCCAAGCACTATTTTTTTTTGTCCTGGAGTTTTCCCCACAGAAACCCACTCTTCAGCTAATCCAGAATGCGGCAGCAAGACTGGTGACTGGGATTGTCTGCCGAGACCATATAATGCTGGTGCTGAAAGACCTACATTGGCTCCCAGTACGTTTCCGAGCACAATTCAAAGTGTTGGTGCTGACCTTTAAAGCCCTAAACGGCTTCGGCCCAGTATACCTGAAGGAGCGTCTCCACCCGCATTGTTCAGCCCAGACACTGAGATCCAACGCCGAGGGCCTTCTTGCAGTTCCCTCACTGCAAGAGGTTGCAGGGAACCAGGCAGAGGGCCTTCTCAGTGGTGGCGCCCTCCCATCAGATGTCAAGGAAATAGAAACTACCTGACTTTTAGAAGACATCTGAAGGCAGCCCTTTTTAGGGAAGTTTTTAATGTTTGAAGTTTTATTCTGTTTTTCAGGTTTTGTTGAAAGCTGCTCAGAGTGGTTGGGAAAACCCAGCCAGATAGGCAGGATAGAAATATTATTATTATTATTATTATTATTATTATTATTATTATTATTATTATTATTTTAGTACACTCAATCGGCGCAAACAACAATTCACGTTTTCCCCCAGATTGTCGATTGTTCCAATTCAGCTTTAAAGAGTGGGTTTTCGTGGGGAAAGCTCCGAAGCAAAAACCAGAGTGCTTGGATAAGGAGCTTTAAAGCACGGACCATGCCTGGAAAGCACATAGGTAAAGTGGATAAGCCCAGAGCGTGGTTTGCCTTTTCACCACTCGCTGTTTACCCACTTCAGATCCCCCTACCCCAGAATGTGGACAAATGCAAATGCTTCTTTTTGGATCGAGAAAATCGACAAAGGGTTGGCAGTGCCCATCATTCAAGCAAGCTAGCCCTACAACCCCTCCACCCTGAATTTGGGAATCGGAAATAACAGGGGGGTGGGATCATGTACAACATGGTTGCATATACCCGACAAGAAATATAATTGTTGGGAAATCCATATTCCGTTGGAAATAGCCATTGCCTGCCTGAAAGTATGAAGTCTTAACAGTGAAGAGAATCTTCCCTCGTAAGTTGGTTCTGTATTGCGTTATGTGGCTTCCCATCCTATCCTTCCTCTCAGGATTAGTTTCACCCTTACTGATGAGGATAGCCTGTATCTGTTTGGCTTTTTTAAGGGAAAGGGCCATAACTCAATGGTGGAGAATTTGGTTGGCATGCAGAAGGCCCAAGGTTCATAGAACCATAGAACTGTAGTATTGGAAGGGAGCCTGAGTGTCATCTCGACTTACCTCCCTGGAATACTGGAACGTCGGTTAATTGATTTTCCAAAACAAAGATAAATAAAACATATACTCTTACATTCAACATTTTTGTGTCTTCTTATTTACCATGCGCAATATCGCGCCCGGACTTCCTTCCTTCCCTACATCGGCTTTCAGAATTAACATCCTCTCTTACAGATTCTTATTTACGCTCTGTCCACGTCACAAGATTTATATTAACCCTGCTACAGTCTTTAAGCTTCTACAATTATTCCGTACGTACTCAACAAATTTACTCCACTCCTCTTCGAACTTTGTTACTTTTTGGTTCCGAATCTTATAGGTCATTTTCGCCAATTCTGTATATTCAAACATTTTCGTCTGCCACTCCGTTAAAGCTGGGATTTCCTGGGTTTTCCATTTTTGAGTCACTAGGATCCTAGTGGCGGTCGTGGCATACACAAATAATTTATGGTCCTCTTTTCTTAATTCATCCCCTATTATCCCTAGCAAAAAAGCCTCTGGTTTCTTTGGGAAAGTGTATTTAAAAAGTTTTTTTCATTTCGTTATAAATCATGTCCCGGAATTTTTTCATTTTTTCACATGTCCACCACATGTGAAAAAATTCACCATCTTTTAATTTACACTTCCAACAAGCTTTGCTACTCACTCTATACATTTTTGCTACTTTAAGCGGAGTGATATACCACCAGTACATCATTTTCATTAAATTTCATTAAATTATAACACGCCGTAAACCTCGCACCTTCATCAGTTAAAGCACCCATGACAGATGGCCATCCAACCTCTGCTTAAATATCTTCAAGGAAGGTTCGATCCCTGGGAGACACCCTGGGTGCTGAGGTGGATAGGCCAGCAGAATGATCTGGCTTGGTATAAGGCAGTTTCCTGAGTTCCTTCGTAATGGCAACTTGTCTACTGGACAGTCGACATGCATGTATAAGTAGAAAAGCCATTAACATTTCACCTTCTGAAAGAAATAGCAGTAACAGCATGGATACGTTCAGTCCTGAGGAAACATTCCAGAAGCTTGGGAACAACGTCAAAATTGGCCGAGTGACCTTGCAGACTGGAAGTTGGCCGGTGGCTATGCAGATTCCTGCATGCGTTGACCTAGCAGCAAAGATAGGCACTAAGGATTTTATTCTCTCTAGATTAGAATGTGCAGGACCACTCTCTTTTCTAAAGGATTGTTTTTAACAACATGCTTTTGGCCCAAGTAAGTTTTCTCAGAAGAACATCTCTCGTGAAACTCTGAACCTGTGTGTATGAGCAAAGTATGCCCCAAACACTCTACTCCACAAAAGTTAATGCTATAATAAACTCGCTGGTCTTTTAAGTTGCCACAGGGCTATTTGAAGTTTCCCAACCAGACAGTGACTGGTGTCCTGCCGATACTTATTTTATTTGGATGTATTTATTGAAAAATATTAACCACCCTTCAACAAAAGGTTCCAGGAGGCGTGCAAGAAAGACGTTCACAAAATATGGTGTGCCAAAGTGAATAAAAGGAATTCAAGCAACATATGTGTTTATTTAAATCGAACAAACATTTGAATACTAGGGGCTGTGCTTCTCACCCCACTTGCCACCATTAAACCGCTAGTACTTCCCTAGACAGCATCTTTAAAAAGCAGAGACATCACCTTGCCAACAAAGGCCTGTATAGTTAAAGCTATGGTTTTCCCAGTAGTGATGTATGGAAGTGAGAGCTGGACCATCAAGAAGGCTGATCGCCGAAGAATTGATGCTTTTGAATTATGGTGCTGGAAGAGACTCTTGAGAGTCCCATGGATTGCAAGAAGATCAAACCTATCCATTCTGAAGGAAATCAGCCCTGAGTGCTCACTGGAAGGACAGATCCTGAAGCTGAGGCTCCAATACTTTGGCCACCTCATGAGAAGAGAAGACTCCCGGAAAAGACCCTGATGTTGGGAAAGATGGAGGGCACAAGGAGAAGGGGACGACAGAGGACGAGATGGTTGGACAGTGTTCTCGAAGCTACCAGCATGAGTTTGACCAAACTGTGGGAGGCAGTGGAAGACAGGAGTGCCTGGCGTGCTCTGGTCCATGGGGTCACAAAGAGTCGGACACGACTAAACAACAACAACACTTCCCTATCGCACCCTATTGAGCTTCCCTTTTCTTTTTTCCAATTACATTTCTGAAGCCATTTTTCTGCAATGTCACTTTGTACCCATTTTCGCCTTCATTCCCATATGCACGCTTCTCCCCTCCTTTTTGTGGTCCACACTTGCATGGAGACACCCCCACCCCCCGCTATTCTGCACCTTCCTCCTTCCATACGTTGTAACTATTAAGCACTCTTTTCACCTTTTGACCAATTATGAAGCCGCCGCCACCACCACCCGTCCCGTGATCCCTTTTGGACCCCTGCTTTCATCTTCACCCCCTATTTCCATGCTGCTACTTCTCCTCTCATATTCTGCAGCTCTGCCCTTTTGCACACACAACCATTATTACGATCTATGTTACTTGGAAGATGTAGAGAATCTAAAGAGCAAACCTGCCGGTTTGCTTGTTCAGTTGGAGATGGTTAAGTTCCGCTGATGGATGTTGTTCCATGCTCACCCAAATAGTTCGATGCTCCCCCAAGCATAATTCTCATTCAGAAATGGAGGCAGCTCTGGGCCAGCAGGGGTGGGATGCCTAAAACAGGAAGCCCAATATAAAGAAAACCCATAGAGAAAAATTAGGGTTCCCTTCCCATTTGGGGAGCTGTCAGTTCTCCGATTCAGATATTTCCAAAGGTGGCAAATTATGGACAGGATTAAACTAACTAGTCCCATCAGCAGTAGTCTTGCACATGGAAGGAGAGGAGGCTAATTCCTAATGAAATAAATAAATAATAATAATAATAATAATAATAATAATAATAATAATTTATTTATACCCTGCCCATCTGGCTGGGTTTCCCCAGCCACTCTGGGCAACATCCAACAAAATATTAAAATACAGTGGTCTCTTAAACATTAAAAGCTTCCCTAAACACGGCTGCCTTCAGATGTCTTCTAAAAGTCTGGTAGTCGTTCTTCTCTTTGACATCTGGTGGGAGGGTGTTCCACAGGGCGGGTGCCATGACCGAGAAGGCCCTCTGCCTGGTTCCCTGTAACTTGGCTTCTTGCAGTGAGGGAACTGCCGGAAGGCCCTCGGAGCTGGACCTCAGTGTTCGGGCAGAACGATGGGGGTGGAGATGCTCCTTCAGGTATCCTTCAGGTAAAATGACCAGAAGAGCATGACATTGATTTCCTCCTTTTGGCTGAAACTCCACAAACATGGGATGACGTCAATGCATTGGCATATATGTATTATGATCAATCGATTGATTTTTTATGAATGCAAAGACTGACCGTGATGCTGTAACTTCATTCTGGGGCAAGTGATGGTGGAAACGATATCTAACGCCAGCTCATAGTGGTACGCACTTGTAAATCCTGAGTTGATTTGCCGAAGAGGGAAGAAGTGCGCAACTAATGCACCTACTGACTACCTCCACTGAGCATTGACAAAGCAAAAGGAGGACTTAGCAATGTGGCAAGTAGGTTGTGATGCTCCACTGGCACATTTTGTCACGTCCTCTCACCACCACACTTACACAATGGGGACAAGAGAATTGCCTTGCTGGCTCAGACTATGGTCCATTGAGTCTCGCATTCCTTTTCCAAAAAATGGCTGGCGCGAAGCCTTTTGGTGCTCAAGAGCAGGGCATGAAGGTGACAAGTACAGTTGCTGTTTGTCCCCTGTATCTGCACAGCTAAGTCCCATTTAACTATCATGGCTAAGAGCCAATAGGAATATAAGGCCAGTCGTAAATTCATGCTAATACAAGATGACATCGTTCCCTACGGTGGCATTTTCACTGCAAGGAAGAGGCACTTGTGGGATTCTCTGCCCTGGGTGCCAAAATAAATTGGCTGTCCTTGGGTAGCAAAAGCGACCTATTGCATGAGGTGGTGTGTGCTTGTCTAATGCGTGCGTGGTGAATTTGGGCTCAGGCTAGGGTTTGGTAGTGGGAGGTGGAAATTTGCTCCTCCGCCTCAGGCAGCAAAATGTCTTCAGCTGATGTTGCAATGAGTCCAAGTCTAGCATCCAGTATTTTCACCTTAAGACGGCAGTGGCTAACCTATGTCCCTCCCGATGTTGTCCAGCTCCTCCAACTCCCATCAGGTTATCCACTCCTAGTTTAAAACAGGGAAAGAGAGGACCACTGTCTGAGACTTCGCAGTGTCTGAGAAGACAATGCAGCAGGACTACCAAGTTCTCAATCACCACCACTCAAGGCAACTGGAATTGCATTGCTCAATGCAGTGGCAGACCTTGTGCCATAGTCCTGTGCTGTTAGCCAAGGCAGAGCTCAGTGGAAGGAGAAGCCAGCCAACCTGCCAAGTCTCAAGGAGGATACTTGCCTGGTGGCAGAGTCTGTATACAAGGTCCAGTCCAGTCTAGTCCTAAGGTCATGAGTATCTCAGTTCACGTAGTCAGACGACCCGGGGGGGGGGGTCAAGAAAGCTGAGGATCCAAGGTCATAAGAAGCAAGAAGCAGCGAGGTCTGGTCAGGAACAATGAATGTTGTTTCCAGCAACTGACCGAGGCTGGCAACCCTGCTGAAGAAAGCTGGAGCCAGCTGGTTCTCATCAGGAGCAAGAAGGCTGATCAGCAGCAGGTGGAGTGTCACTTCGCCTTCTGCTCCTTCAGGCTGCTACTCAGCAGGTGAAGCCAACTCCTGGCCCGTGACCTTGGGGTCTCAAATTTCAGCAGTGCCCTGTGTGACACCAAAATTTATCACCTTCGCGACCAAACTGGTCACAGTCACCTAAATCTGCCTCTGTTCAGTGCCACAGGGGTCACTGCTGACATTATCAGGCTTTTTTTGTTGGGAGTCATTCTGCATAGAAACAGTAAAGATGTTTGTACCTTTAAGAACTGTTTCTGTGAGCTTTGGGCAGATTGGGCACAGCTGGGCATGACTACAAAAGCAGGAAAAGCTGCAGTTTGGATTTGCCCGCAAGAAAAAACACCCACAAGCTTTGCTGTTTGTTGTTTTGTAATAAAACCTTTATTTAATTTGGTTTTACACCGATCTCATGGTGTCATAGCTTCTGTCATCTGCCACCAGAGGAAAAAAACCCCTCTAACATTTTTATTTTGGGCATCTCAACCACAATCCTCCTTCCCAAAATATCTCCTCCCTTTTCAGATAAGTGTGTGAAATATACTCAGAGTTGCAAAGTGATTTCATGCTCTTTATTCAGCTCATAGTGGTGAGGAAGAATGAATGAAAGTCCCCTCAAAGTATCTGCTTTATATACATTATTTACACAATAGGCTGCACATGATTGGCTAATTCTGGAATTCTACTGTAAGCCAATCAGGTTGTGGATTCACTTATATCTGGAGCATGATTGGGTGGTTCCTGCCAACCAATCATACTGCTGCAATTTGGATCCTATTTGTTCTAGGACCAATCAGACTGCTGCAATTTGGATCCTATTGTTCTAGGACCAATCAGACTGCTGCAGTTTGGATCCTATTCAACTCAGTACATAACAGTGTGTTTAGGTGACAGGTGTGGCTGATCCATGACCCAGGAGGCACATGCAGTGCCCCCCCCCCCCCGCAAGTCCAGAGAATGATAGTCAATGGAGAAGAATGAATGGACAATGGATGAATGAAGGGAAGAGTTTGGGTGCATGAGAGAATGGACGATGATGATGAATGAGGAATGAAGGACAAGGAAGGGGACAAATGGGATGTTCCACCCATTTTTCACTTTGCCCCACCCACCATCACGTGGTGTGTTGTCTCCACCAGTTCTCCCCAAGGGACTGCAGCCTTCAACTCTGAAAACGCTGCCCACACATGAATTAGGACTTTAGGCTTTAATGGATAATAAACAGGGACCTTTGAGTGACCCAAGACAAGACAGTCAATAAGGAGGAGTGCCTACAATTCTCCTAGAAATTCTCTGTAATTCTCAGGATAATAGTTCTGGGCTAACAAGCCTGAATTAAGAACATCTATGAACTTAACTTAAACAAGCCTGTTTAAAAATCTGAAAGGTTTAAGAAATGAGAGGGTTCCTGTCAATCAGCATTAGCACCTTTGTGATGTCGAAACAGAGCAAATGTGTTTTGGGAAAAGATATACTTTGGCATCCATCTCTTAGGAAGTTTCTGCGAGTGGGCATTTCGGAGACCACCCCAAGGTCCTCTTAACAGAGCAAATACTGGGTTGCCCAGATGGGAATGTGTCCCTTGAGCTGGAAAATGTCCCCCACCCCAGTCTGAGGGCCTGGGACAAAAATTACTCCAAGAAATTGGTCTGTGTTTGTTTTTGTCACTGGGGTGTTTTGTTCTTGTCTTGGCAATGTTAATATATTGGAATAAAAAAGTATATTTTCCCCCAAACAAAAACTGATCCAGAGAAGCAGGCTTCTTCTGAGATATCCCTTGCTTGGTTTTGAGACCTTTCACTACTCCTAGGACACTTCCAAACACCAGTTTATTGTGGCTCTGGTCCTTCTGAAGCCTGCGAGTTCCCAGCCTCTCCAGCATCTCCATGACGTCACCCTCACCAAAGCGCCGCCCTGCATTACCCCCTCCCCTTTAATCCGGATTAACTGCTTCCAGCTTTTATTATTATTATCGGATTTTCCTGAGAAACGGCAAATCCGGGTAAAATCGAGGGGCGGGGGGCGCCATGTGATGGCATTTTGATGAGGACGACGTCATACAGACGCTGTGCAATATGTCCATGCGTTGCGCGGAGCAGAGTCCACAATAAACTGCCCCGTTACACTGCAATATACATTGCAACCACCCCGAAAGGGTTTGGGGGTTTTTTTTGTAAAAAAAATAAAATAAATAAATCTGGATTAGTGAGCATAAAGGAGCCCCAGCCCTCCCCCGTATGCGCGTGAATTTCCAGATTAGGGTCATAGGCAGGGGCTTTCTTTTTTTCCATTTCAAAAAACAGTTTTTTCCACCAAAAAGGCTAAATCGGGATAAAGGCGAGGAAGAGGGAAAGGGCTGCAATGTCGATGCCAAGGCGTCTGGTGCGCGCACGAGGAGCCCCCCGCCCCCGCCCCCCCCAATATCCTGCAAGAATCCACGACTGCTCCGGGTACGGAGGCGCGCCTCGCTTCGTGGTGGCGCACGCGCGCTTCGCCGCGCCCGGGCGTTGCATGGCCGCCTCGCGTGTGCGCTTTTCTTCCCCGCCCGCTCTGTGCGCGTGCCTGGACGGGCTCGCCAGGTCGGCGATGCCTCTGCGAGAGCCGTAGCGGCGGCAGGCAGGCAGGCAGGCAGACAGACAGACGGGCGGAAGTGTCTGTCAGCAGTAGTGGGCAGCCGAGCCCCGCGGGCTTTGTGCGCTTCCTCCTCGCCCGCCCCACGCCCACCACCCTCGCCTCGCCACATCCCGGGAAAGCGGAGCGGGAGGAGGAGGATGGCCGGGCCCCTGGACCGCTTGCCCGGCGCCGTGGAGAAGCTCCCCGGCAGCTAGCGCCCTTGGCCGGCGGGGACGAAGATGCCATTGCGCGCCAGCCGCAGGCCGCCAGGAGCAGCAGCAGCAGCAGCAGCAGCAGGGCGACTGAGCAGCGGATGCAGCGACGCCAAAGCCCGCCGGGCTCCCTCCTCCTCCTCCTCCTCCTCCTCCTTCTCCCGGGCGCCGCTCCTCCATTGAGCATCTGACAGCCCGCAGTAGCGCGAGACGCCGCCGCCGCCGCCGCTTTTACAGCCGCCGCGCTGCCGAGCCCGGGGCCCGGGCAAGAGCTTCCCGCTGCGCAGTGGGAGCTGGCGGGGAGACGCCGGCCAGAGGCGGCTGCGCAGAGCTCGACTGCGGGGAAAATGAGGTGAGTCAGCCGAGCTGCGGCTGCCCCGTCCTTCTTTCTCCTCCTCCTCCTCCTCCTCCTGCTGCTGCTGCGCGCCGAGCGCCCTCCTTCCCTCCCTCCCGGATGCTGCCGGGAGAAGGCGAAGGGAGAGAGGCGCGCTCGGGCAGGCAGGCAGGCAGGCAGGCAGGGACCCCTCACCTGGCAGCAGCCGGGCAGGTGCAGGCAGCGCCTCGTGAGGAGAAGAACGGGCGGGCTTGGGGCAGAGACGCGCCCCGGCGCCGGGATAGGCTGGGCATGGGGTGCTTGCCTCGCTTCCTCGGGCCTAGCAGCTGCTTTCGTTGGAGCCCCAGCACCTATCTTCCTTCCTCCCCACCCCTCCATACCTAGGAATTGAGGGGAGTTGCCTGTGCCCCTTAACTGCTGCAATCTGCTGCTCCCAGCAACCTTTCTTAAAAAAAAAAAAAACCCTTTGTGGCAGGTTTGCTGTGGCACAAGGGTCAGCTTCCTAAGGGAGGACTTTTCCTCGTCTGTCAGAATATATGCCTCAGTTGGGTGCCAGGAGATGATCTACTTTTGGGGTGTTTCGTTGTGACAGGCAAACACGGCTATGCCTCTGGGATCTGCCACATATCCTGCTGATCTCGGTTCTGCTGTGGGAAGCTGGTTTCTGTGGATCAAGCTGCTGTGAAAGACACAAGAGTGAGCTAGACACCAGCTGCCGTTGCCTCCCTCACAGTTGGCAACCCTAAAACTGAGATGATGGGATAATAACCAGGGAGGGAGCCTCTGAGCACATGCAGAGTGCCTTGTCCTCAGCACAGAGGCCTGATTCATGTGGTGCATGTCTTTCTGGCTTGCCCACTGCAGGAATTAGCAATGCCATAATTCGCAAAGTGCTGGATGTTGCCCGAGCCGTGCTTGGAGTAGTCCCACTAATCTCAGTGGGTCTACTTTAAGCACGACTAAGTCTGGGTCCAACTTAAAGTCTGGAGGCAGCAGAGAGGCATGTCTTGTTTCTTCAAACGATAGAGGTTTCACACTGTGTTGGAATCATAACCTGCCCTACAAAGTCGAGTCGGTTGTAGGTGGTAAGAAACAGCCACTTGGGCACCTGAGATTAAGGTGTGTGTGTGAGAGAGAGAGAGAGAGACACGAGGGTGGCACACTTCCAGGTGCGATTCAGCATCAGTGCTTCTCTTGGAAATGTAAGCAGAGCTATTCTGGCAGTGTGCACCTCCATCCTTCGTCCATTGAAAAAAAACCTAAGCGTCACTGCGCCTCCCAGTCTTTCACCAGAATGGATCCCATGCTGGTGGGTGGTGTGTTTTAGACACGATTGGCTGTCATTCCTTCAGCCTTTTGACAGATTGCACGCTCTGCATCCTTGCAAGCGGTTGTGGGGTTTTGTTTTTACATCTCATTTCTGCCCCAGCCCTTGTTTCTGCTGTCATGTGCAGCTTCCGCGAATGTAACACAACGCCTTAATTTCTGTGCTGGAAAAAGCAGCAATTTGCTTCTAGGTGCCTGTGCTATGTACTCTTGAGTATCCCCAGGAAAAGAAAAAGCACTGGGGGAAAGTACTGTGTGTGTGTGTGTGTGTGTGTGTGTGTGTTGTGGCCTTTGTTGCTAAGTGTCCATGTCTCTGCATATGTATATAGATTGCCATCCTAGTCCGCAAATAAATTTGGTGCCTTTCCAAGTAACACGAGGTCTTCCACCGAGGTGTATGTGTGTGCATATAGGTGTGCTAGCTCTCCCAGTTCATGCAGAGGGAGAGGGAAGGGGCATCAGTATGCCAAATGACTACGTAGTGCATCATGTGGAGAAACACAGAGAAAGGTGCATAGCAACAGAGATGGAGGAAACGCGCAACTCCCCTCCATTGGCAAGAATGTGGGTGTGTTCATTCCTTCTGTTGCTGCAGCCTTGCATACCCTGTGCTTGGGTGTGTTTGTGTGTTCAGAGGTTTCTTGCTTTATCTCCGTGGTGTGATGTTTGTCTACATCTTTTATTTGTTTACAGGCGATGTGTTGGATGGGGGGGGAACCTTAATCTCTTCCCTCCCCTCCCCTTTTTATAAAAACGTGTGTGTCAGATGGATTCTTGCCCAGCTGATTCTCACTCCTTTCCTTGCCCCTTCCACCTCCGTATTCAGTTCTGCTTTCTGTGCCTGTAAGATGCAGATGTTGGCTAGGCATATATTTGCAGTATCTGCCTCTCTGCGTGTATTTTCTAAGGGAGACGAGGGGAATGGGAGTTCTCTAATAAACACCTCTTGGTTTCTTCTGGGGATGCAGGAAACAAAAACACTCCTGGGATATTCTTCCTTTATAACAGTGTGGCTGTCTTGGTGTAGTTAGAGATACTGCAGCTTGTGTGATGGGAACACACTCTCCCCCACCCCCTTTTTTTGCCAGTGACTTTGGAAAAGATCCAGGAACAGAGTTCTGGCTGAGGCTACTGGTTTAGCAGTGCAAATTCTGTGCAGATGGTATAATTGCTCTTGTGTGTGTGGCATTTCATTATTTATATGACAACCAGTTGGGGAGAGATCAGAATAACTTGGGAAGGAAAGAGCCTCTCTTTACGTGACCTTTGCCTCTCTGAGATAACTTCTTCTCCTGATTCAGAGGACCACAATAACAGAACCACTCATATTTACAATGGCTGGGTCATGTTATGCTGAGATAATTATTCAATGTCAGAGAATTTTGCTTCTTCCTCTTAAGGGCAGGTTATTTATTAGGGAGGAATTGGGCATCCTGGGAAAAACAAGATTGTCTCCCAGTCTTTCACCAGGATAAATTGATAAAATGCTAGTGGGTGATGTTTTGGGGGTTGTTTCCCCCCTCCCCATAATTGACTGTCATTACTTAAACCGATATGGCAGATTATGTCAGGGGTTATAAAAAGCTGCAGACAACACATCAAAATAGCTCACCACCAGCATGGCGCTGTGTGCGCCTGTGCACATTTTGTCTCCTGCTAATCCTTGACACTTCACATGCTATTTGGTGTGTTTCTCAACGCTCCAGTTTTACCCATGCCTTTTAGGGTTGTGGTCAGTAGAACCCTGTGTTACAGTGATCTAAAAAACGACCAATCTTGATTACAGCCAATTTAAGGATGTTTGTTTGTGCTCGGGACTTGAGGCCTCTTACATTGTCCTATTTAGTTAAACCATGATTAAGCTCAGTTCAGACATCACATCAAAGATGTGGTTAAGGAACCTTCATTATGGATTCATGTGTTGTGTGAAATAGGCAAACTATGGTTTGTGATTAACTGCGGAACCAGAATTGGAAACCATGGTTTGAAGCGGCTTTGGAAACCATGGTTTGTGCTAACTGGCCTGTTGTTATTTATGAATCAACCAGCCGTAGCTTCGGCCGCTGTGTTTTCTCCAGAGCCTGTTGCACCTTGGAGAGCAGGATTGGACGTATGAAACAGAGTACAGAGACAGTTGAAAACCAAAGCCAGCAAGCTACTCTCAGCCATATTTTGCCTGCTGTGCACTTGAAAGCTTTGAAAGCATGGTTTGGGTTCTTCAGTATGGTTAGTGTGATATCTCTATGGTTCTAGGACTTATATGCACAAGTATTTGGGATGGAGGCTTAAAAAGCTACAAAAAAGAGATAGAAATAGTTGGCTTGTGCTCAACCATCATAGCTGCTTCCTGATGACCAAACTGCACTGTTCATCCTCTGTTGTCCAGGTCCATTGTGCCTGCCATAATAAAGTGGTAGAACTTCAGGCAATCCATGTTATTCCACTTTTTCTGGTGGGTTCTGCACAAATGGATGTTTTGCACTGAAATTTCCTTGGGATCATTTCCCTTCCAGTTGTCTTCTTGTGAAACTTTAACCAAAACTTTGGGGCAGAGAGGGAGGGAAATTGCGCAACTAGATGTTCTATCAAATAAGTCAGCGATGTTATGAGCACAGTGGAGAAGAAAGATAATCGATGAGGGTGGGAAGCAAGCAAAATGAGGTGCCAACTGGGAAGAAGCTTCTTGGGATGGGATTAGCTCTCTGCTGTGTACACACCACAAACAGTTCACTTGTAATCTGGAAGCAAATCTCAAAAGTACACAGCCAGCTAACAGACCTTAACTTTCTCCAAATTGGAACAGGCTCAAAATAGTTCTGAGATGGCTCAGGACTTCATGGCTGCCATGACGACCATGGGACTTTCCTAACATGCCATTGGCCCACACTGGACCTTGTTTTCACAACTGGGCAGGAAGAGGGTGATCCAAAAGTGGGGGAGGGGGTATTGACACCAGTCCCTTGTCATAGCCAGATGCTGAGATTTAGGCTTTCAGCACCTTTTCTCCTCTGCAGAGGCAGGGGACTTGTTAGGATGCTCCGCCCTTGGAGGCTGATGGAGTCAATGGGTTTCCAGTGGTTCTGAAGGATTTTCTGGCTGCTGTCACTGGTGCTCCTGTTGAAGCTCTGGCTGACTTCTGGAACATCCAGATGGCTAGGGCTGTTGACCCTGTGCCTGAGTGCCTCCTACCGCTTGGCCCTCTGGTATACTCCAGAATTTAGGAAACAAGATGGGAGACGGCTTGAACATGAGTGGAGGAAACCTGCAGTTGAACACTGATGGGTTCTCATCAAGCAGTGGCAGTAAAGGCATCCAAGAAGGCACAAATTGGGGCTTAGGCCCAGTTTTTGTACAGAAACTGCTTTGATCACCCTGTAGGATGACCTGTATTGGAAAAGAGAGACAGGGGAAAGGCATCCTTGTTCATTCTCCTTGATCTCTGAGCCCTGTATGTCCAAATGCCATTTTCCCTGATGGGCTGTGCGTATTTAGTGGAAATATTTTCTTTTTCTTTTAAATACTCTGCTTTTCTTATGGGCTAAAGCGCCATCAGTGTTCAAAACTCCCATCGTTCTAGGCACATTTTGCGACAGGGAATTTCTTTAGCGCGAGCAGTTTCCGAGCTCTGTGCTTAAGATTTCAGATTTAAAACTGCAGAGTGGAAGGAAAGGAGGAG